TATCAAGCTACAGTGCGGGCTGTTTTGTTGTATGGCTGTGAGACTTGGCCTATTCGAGCAGCGGACCTGAGACGTCTTCAGGTGTTCGACAATCGTTGTCTCAGAACCATAGCTCGTGTGGGTTGGTGTCGGCGATTCCGTAACGAGACAGGTAGAAAGCGTGTTTTCGGTTGTGTAACGGGTACTTCCATTGAAGAATGTGTCCAGTACCAGAAGCTGCGTTGGTTGGGACATATATTGCGTATGCCGAACCATTGTTTGCGGAAGAGAGTACTGTTTTCCATGCCCAGTTCTGAGTGGCGTAAATAGAGAGGTGGCCAACCCTTTACTTGACAGAAGAGTATGAAGGAGATCACGAAACGCTTGGGTGCTGTCGGTGTTACTCGCCTCCCAGGATGGGGACCGCGTGATCCTCACTGTGCCTGGTTGGAGACACTACAAGTTATGGATACCAACCGATGTCAGTGGCGTTCTTGTTGTCAGTTTCTATCCAGATCGCCTGAGTGAGTGTCTGGTGGTATAGGCACCTCGGAATGATTGTGGTTAGCTAGCACTAAGTCCCTTTCCAGTCCACCTTTACTCCTTTCTTTACAATAAGGCTTTCAAATAAGTCATGGTTGTACGATAGTGAAGCATCGGTGTTGAACACTGATGTCATGCTGTCCATGATGATGACGATTGATGATAATGATGAGTACACTTGTCATACAGAGACAGAAATAGGAGCTGCTCAGAGGAAATACGACTATCTGAAGAACCAGTGAGTTAGGAACAACTCAAAGAGATGCACGAAAAGAAAAGATGAACGTTGAAATTAACTGTCATGTGTGACAAGACGGCTGATTGTGAAACACACACTCCAGAATTATTTTTGCAAAGCTTATTCCTCATAGTGTTCAGTTATTTATTCATTGCCCTCCGTTGGATGGATGGCTCAAAATATACTAACCGTTTTCAATGGGTCCATTAGGTACACAATTTGCATCGTATGGTATGTACCACATCGTTTCGAATGACCTTGATCTCACGACCAAGGTGTTAGAGTTTTCGCCTTTGTAGTGAATCAGAGAAACCTACCCCTTCCGTCCAACCCTGCTGTTTACGAAATATGGTTTTATGGCTGAACAGAAACTCCAAATGTATTGCGAGGTCCGGGTAAGAGCTCATCGAACAACAAATCCGTTCTTAATATGAGTTGACTAACCTCAGGTTGTCTTCATCTATGACCAACGAGGTGTGCAGTGGAATCGTTCGAACTGGAGAGCAGGCTAATGGGTGTGCAGGATCACATCGTCCTTCTGAACTAACAACATTAACCAGGACACTCATCAGGAGAGAAGGCTCGCGAAGTCCTCCGAACAACAGCCAAGCATCATGAATACATTCAGATGAGAGTTAAAAAATACGGGTAAAAATATCATGTATTACATTTGAGAAACTCTTGCACTGATGAAGGGATTGGTAAAGATTGAATAAGCTGATTTATCGAGCGAAGACTTGGCTGATAACGGGATGAAAACTGGAAACGACGAAGATGCAGGCGAACATGTATTTTGCTTATTGCCCGCAACGTGTAGGGTTCGCTGTTAAGAATTGCCACACGGCTTTCAAGTAAACTAAAAAGACTTCTGCGAGAAGTACCGAGAGAATTGGGACTCAACAATTTTAGGTAGTCCTCCGGAACATGAGCGGTTAGTTCGCTTTCGCGATACGATAAAATCAAATAATCAACCACGACATCAGTTCGGGTTTGATCCGACCAGTCGTCCATCCTGCTGATCAGAAAACGAACTAGGTGTGGAGAGAATTCGAGAACACATTCCAATAATGGAATGTTAGACAGGGTGTGCATGCTAGCGATGGCAGTTTCGCCAGTAGGATTTAACGGCGAAGTCACAGGTGGTATCCAGGGGCAAATGTGTTGCCGAATTATGTGTAAAAATAATTCATGCCCCGGAAGTTTGCTTGACGCCGGAAACAAGGAAAGCACTTTGATAAGCAAAATAGCTTGTGAATCTGCTTGTTTGGGGTGGGTAGATGAGACACTCAAGAACGTGTGTTCGAAGAGTAAGTCTAGCTGAGTTTCAATCATCTCAAGCGACAGATCGTTACAACTGAGTACAAACATAGCTCGACCGCAGATAAAAGGGAACACATCGCGCCAAAAAAAGTCAAAAACAGATCCAGAATGTTGTGTAGCATGAAGATCTAATGAGGTAGATAATGAAAAATCTGAATTGCAAACCTTGGAAAAGAATCCATTCCAGCTGGATAACCAAGTGGGGAATGGAAATTTCAAAGCTAATACAGCTAAATACAAGACAAGCGGAAGCAAACTGGGATCGGAAATTATGGGTTTCGAATAGCTCGAATTATCCTGTTGATTCAGGCCAATCAAATCTAGAAGTACACTGTCTTGTCCGAGCACAGAAGACAGTCGTTTTGGAGATAAACCCCATTCAGTTAGCACATGCAACCAGCCAGCGGCCGAAACTGGCGACTGAAATACGTTGAAGCGTTGCAGACGGTGCACACAGTCGAGATTTCCGTTGTGAGGAACCAGTTTTTCCAAGAAAAAACAACTGACACGTCGAAAATAGTTCGCCAACACGGTGATATGTGCTGTAAACTGGGTGAATGCATCTTCGCAAAGGTAGATTAGGAATTCTTCCAGACCAGGATTCTCGACGGTAAACTGTAGGAAGTGACAGAGGCAGCACTCAAACAGAAACCAAGCAGATTATGTAAAAATGTGAATTTTATTGCTTTTTCTCGAGCGGGATGATGAGCAATAGAGAATAATATGGAAATAAACACATCTAATTAGTAAATTGCACTATTCCAGCATGTATTGAAACTTTACATAGCTATCAGTCTTCAGAGGAACAAGCTGACAGATCTGATAAAATTGCTCGTTTCCATAAGAGCTCTCAGGTGGGAGGTTTCCGGAGAACAAGCAAAATTCGTTTTGTCATAGGGGGCATTTCAACTCAACTATACATTCCTATAATAAAGAGGACAGAAAAGCGCTGCGATGACGAGAGAATAAGACCTGCATCTAGTTTTTTGTGGGTAAATAATGTTCGGAAAACTGACGAGTTAGTTAGAGTAAATGGGAACAAAGAACACTTGGCCTTCTTGTCTGTTTTGGTTCTACAGTCTGAACTGATTTGAACTTCGTACTTTGATTCCCGCCCCGGTAAACTAAACGACAGGAAGTGGCCACAAACAACAAGCAATCCCGGTGTCCTGAGACATATTACTTGCGAGTAATCTGCAGCTGAGGTTCCAGTCTTTTTTCCACACAAAAGTCTACAAACACAATCATACTGCGTCCAGATGACTAGCACTTCTACATGGATGCAAGAAACGGGACCCAATTGCCTGTAAAGGACCCCAAGAGATGTGCGTTCCAGTCAGCCAAGGACTGACCGGCAAATTGTCATTACGTTCGATAAGCAAATGTATTTCAAAGCAAGACTGAAATGGTACATGCTAGGAGTCATATTCTCTAAATTATTCACACTCGGGTTAAGCGAGCATCCCAATGTTAAGACAAAGACAATTAAGTGGATATTAGTAGAGGCGAAATGGCACAGTGGTTGAAGCGCGAATTTACTAACCGGAAGGTCCGTGGTTCGAATCCAACCTCTGCACCTCGACCTCTGCGTAGGCTTGGGAAAGCTTACAGTAAACCAACTCTTGTTCTCCCTCTGGGTGGCGGGCCAGCTAGGCACAGAGGTGTCAGAGCTGAGGGATTTCAAATTTTGATTTCTTCGGATGTTAGAAGAGTTGCCAAAGGATTTTGAGGCTCTGGCTTAGTTTCCTTCAGCGACATATAAGGGAGGGGTGTCAGACGTTCTCTGTTTGGACAACCTTATATCCATACCTTCAGAGAACTTGGCGAGCAGGCTGGGTACGATGCAACTGCCCCCTTCTCCCGTGGAAGGACCACCCATATGGGTTTGCACAAGTGGCCTCTACTGGGAGTTGTTGTGACACTGTGAAACACTTCTGTATTGAACAAAGCCCCAAGGGTACAACCAACAGTGGTCTGCTCCAGGTCAGTCTGTTCAGAGAGAGATGACTACATCAATCAAACCGAAAGACTTCAAAGAATGCGGTCCACCTACACAGGTCGTTAATTATCATCAAAATAAGACTCACAGAGAAGGCAAGAATATCTCTGAAAAGTGAATAAACTAAATACAACCATCCTCTTCTAAAGATGCCAGCCTCAAAACAGAGTAGTTTGGTTGGTTCTTTGAAGTGAATTCTTAGACCCTTCCCGGCTGGGAGCACCGACAATTTTTGGACTTATCTCAGTCGAAATCCATTCCATCAAGAATTCAATAAGAGGCAATGTGAGCCTGAGGCTCATTTTATCTTATTTTATAGGTTAGTCTGTATGTATGTACAGGTGAGGCATAGAAATTAATGATGAAAACCTCTGTCACTGACAGGTTTCGGTATCCAAATCCTCCCGGTTGTACCTAGATTTATTGGAAAACTATGATTTTCGACGTAAAATGGTCCAGGTGCAACACCTTCTCGGTGCCTAGTTGCCATGCCACCCGAAGGAAGCACGAGGGCTGTGATACTGCCCGGTTGTCCAAGCCTAGGCAGGGGAAGTCGAGAGGCAGAGTTCGGATTCGAACCACGGACCTTCCGGTCAGTAAATTCGCGCTCTAACCACTGAGCCGTCTTGCTCAGTTTTCAACGTGATCGGGTGATCTTCAACTTCACACATATACACTTCGCTTCATATGATTCTCTGACAGTGCGAAGGTAGCTAAGATTAATCTCTATATTCTCCAACCTTGCACCACAACACCAATCTAATTATGGTTAATTATTCTGGCCCAAGGTTTGCCAATTTAGATGCAATATTGATTCGAGTGGGTGGGTAAAATGTAGCTAAAAACAAACTGGAACCCGACTCGGAGATCTTATATTACAAGAACGGTACAAAATGCAATACACTGAATGGGAAATGCGGCATCCAGACAGATAGTACACCTTATCTCTGTTAGAACATACAGCTATGGTGGAGTGGTCAGGGTGACCATGGTTAAGGCGCGAAATTACTAGCCAGAAGTTCCATAGTTCGAACCCGACCTCGGTATATCGACTGCCACTAACTGGTCTTGGGCAGCTTGACAGTATCTTAGCCATCCTACTTCCTTGGGCTAGCAAGACAACCAAGAGTTTAAAGCGAACGATATTATATATGTATCGCATTTTATGTTGATCCCCTCTCAGGAGATATCACCACTCAGAAGTACCCTTCATCAGGATGGGGATAACCAGATGTCTAACTGAATTCCGGGGCCTAAGCTGACGCTGAGGAGAAGATGCCGTCATTTATTCTATAAATAAGAAATATCAAAGTTGTGTGTATTACCGCTGTTCTTGTGTTGAGAGAAAATCTATGCAAAGTTTGACGGAGGAAAAATTACCCTAAACTATTATTCAGTTGGAGTGTTCGCACCCTCACTTGCGTTGAAACATTTCAAGTTCTGTGAGAGAAGGCCAAATGGAAGAAGTAACAAGAACAAACCTCCAATAGGGCGTCACAAATTTCGCAAAAGACTTTCACATCGTAGGGAACCGCATGCGCTTGTAACAGTTTATAATGCGCCAAAGATACGATCAGATCAGGCTTCAATAGTTCAACCCAGTATCGATCATTTCGCGAGCGGTCGAAATCCACGTCCAGTGTATCTAGAAGAAAACTGGTGAGCTAGAATGACGACCGAAACGAATCACAACTCAATCACATCAACATACCTGGACGTTCGAACCGTGCAGAGCCTCGATGAGCACCGGGACTGTGTTTGAGAAGCGATAGTCGGTTCGCCCACCATATGAAAACAACAACTTCACAGAATCTAAGTTACCACTGGTTACCGCACAGCACACGGCATCTTGGTTCTGACATTGTCGAATTTGAGGAAAGATGCTATGACAACATACCATAAAATTCTGGCGTTGAACCTCGGTCTCCACATCTAGATCATCACGGCGGTCAAGTGCGTCTAAACATACTTGGACAGCAGTCGTTGAACCGGACAGCGCGGCCCAATGGAGAGGCATATTACCCTAAACAATATATAGATGAATGGGATAGTCAATGTCATACATCAAAGTCCGGTCGATTGACGAGCTGCGGGTCATTCTGAAACATCTGCTCCAGCGCGGCAGAATTGCCAGATGAAGCAACACGGAAAACGAGGTGTTGGAATTCCTTCAACAGACCCGGAAGTTAGAAACAAAACAAACAAACAGACCTACCATTGATTGAGGACACTACCACGGGCTCATTCTACGAAAAGTGCTTAAAAAAAAGATAACAGAAGAGATGAACAAACGGAGTGAGATAGACACAACATACTTCCCATACAGGATTTCCGCGGAACCTTAAATTTTGTCGAGACCATAGACCAGACCACAAAGGTTCGCGCTGTTTGGAACGTCTTTCTCCGGTTGTCGCACGATGTATCTGGTTGGTTTGCGCAGAATATGAGGCACTGAATCTAAGTTTCAAGCTTATTTATGTTCGTCAGCCGTGCACTCTCTAACCCGGATAAAGGCCTTAGAATATTAGCTCAGCGAATTCCGAGCTAACCGAAAACGGACATTATGGTGTTACTGGGATGTATAACCTAACGGGCAGATGGACCGTCGAATCATCCAAAACTGCCGTTTGAGGTTTTCCACACAAAAAATGCCAATCATTCAAGGGAGAATGTTCTTGCATGTTCAGACATGATAGGTCAATTGCGTCCAGCCTGTGCTGACAGAACACTGATTGCACGTTGCTTGCCAAATGACCGGAGTATAAGTCCCAAGGGGATGAGTTCAATTCAGAGTAGAAGTCGGGTCCAGTGGTAGGGCAGTTCAAACGATGTGGCTCAGATAAGTCTAAATGTGTTGCGAGAAGCATCTTGAGATATCCGCTTTTCATCTGCGGTTTACATTTTTCCCAATATCCGACGGTTAGCTTGGGGCGTATTCTACAACCCTGATTCTTGACCAGCACACACGCACACACACACACAGGAATGAGGTTAATGACAGTACTCACAAGACATCGGCCATTCTCTGCAGCATATACAGGGTGATAAGACAAACAGCCACACAAACCGGTGTTGAACCAAAATGAACCCAAAAATTGACAGGGAGTCAGAACACGCAACGCCACACAGCTCAAGACATCAGGGATGGAGAGAACGGTCTGAAAAGAAATTCGAATAACTGTGTCCGCGAGATTTGCATTAATTAGGATTGACGGAATCGATAACAAGATGCTCAGCGGATGATTTAATCTAATTTCAAAGTTAGTTTGGAAATATGCTTGTATCGTCATCAAAAGCAATTCATTGCTAATTAAGGGCAGGGCGCGCGCTTGCGATAGCTTCCATGAAGGGATGTAAAATACTCACAGCAATGTTCATCAACATCCGACTGTCGTAAAACTCCCGTCGCAACTCCTACCCACAGAATTCTATTTCCTCCATACAACCACCCACTCAAGCTATGGACATTTTAGCTGCCGAGTCGCAAATCATATTTCCAAAACCACCTCCGAGATACACTGCTTCTCTAGCAAAACATACGGTTAACTATTTGGCTAATGCAAAAAAATGTAAAATTCAGGAGCATCTTCGCAGGGACACATTCACAAGTAACTGTCAAAACAGTACTGCGAACCAGTGTGGTTAAAGTGCACATGCCAACATGTGGCACAATAACACAGAGAACCTAATTTTCACAACAGCTCTGGTGTAGCTTAGCTTCTATCACAGGAACCTATCGGAGATACAGTCACCGGACAATGGTTCTTTAGAGAGCACACAATGCATCGTGAACTAACGCTCCACATCGGCTAACCCATTCACAGGCTGTCTCAGTAGTGTAATCGGATCGTATTAAACATGATTCTATCACGTGGTTTAAAAAAATCGTCCAGCTGTAGCACCCTTTCAGTGTCTAACTGCCATGTCACCAGAAGGAAGCACGTGGTCTGGGGTACTGCCAGGTTGCCCAAGCCTAAGCAGGGGAAGTCAACAGGTAGAGGTCGGGTTCGAACAACGGACCTTACGGTCAGCAAATTCTCACTCTAGCCACTATGCGATCCCGCCCCCGATTCTATCACTAGGCGACTATTATTCAACATTTTCTCTTAACCTTTTCTCTAATTAAATGGTATTGTTGAGACCAAGGAATCTGGGTAGTTCATTTAACACATAATGCCGCTGCAGCAAAAACAAGTAGATAAGCTTTACTTATTGGGAGAGACGAAATATCCATAATTGTGGAGTGCCACTTGTCCAGGTGATTAGCGAATCCATGTCCAAATACCTGACAAAAACTAATGTATTTGTCACAGACTTGCTTCAACTGAGAGAAGTTGGAAGAGAAAAAGTGGATTTATTGATTTTCGAGTGACCACACAAACGCTTATTTTTTTAAACGCTTGAAAAGTTGATGTCCGGACCAAGTTCGGTGAAAGATCTATATTGTATAGCCGTCTTCCTCACGAGAGAACCGGATAGTTTCAGAAGGCGTTGAATGTAACTTTCTTCTAAATAAAACCCGCTCTGAAGAAAAACCTTATGCTTAGTGTCGTTCAAAAAGTCACGCTGGCTTCGTCTGCATAAAAGGTAAGAGATGCAGCCTAAATCAATCATTCTATGTGGTAACTTACTGTGCTGTGCCACGTAATAATTGATTGAAGATGTCACGAGGGGGCTTAGATCTTGTGGGTAAGATACCGTGGGTTGAGATATCTAATGTAACGTCTTAAACGCACCATATTTTCTTACAGAAGAACGCCGGAGATTTCGATGTCTCTGAGGTGGGTACACAAGAACCATCTGTGGATAGTTGTATTTAGATTTTATTGTTCATCCTCATGTGTTTCAGGCATCATTGTATCTTAACAAGCTTCACTTTTCCGAATATGCATTGCGTCATTCTTCCGTGCAACCAGGTTCACACTCCAAGATCTAGCGACCCACAGTTTCTTCGCGACGACCTATGTTGAAGAACCGTTCGTTTTCAGTGTAGAACCATATCTCTCACTCGTCCGTGCGCGCAGGGACCAGCCTAAGTTACTCTTATCAGCACAATCGTCATTCCTTTTTCAAGGTTTGATTATGCATCGGCTGTTTTCACCACAGCTGATAATCCAATGAACATGATCTACACTCACCACTCTCGTTTGAGCAGTCATAATGCAGTTATTCTGATGAGTCCAGACAAAAGGGAAAATAACTAGACTCGAGTTTCGCTCTTATTAGAGCTTGTCAACAGCGCACATCATTGGCCACCCTGGAGCTGGAATCCTGGCTTGAACATCTGATATGCGAGGTCAGTGTGTTACCAAAACTCCACCAACACACGTTGGAAGCACGCGAACGTGTTCACGCTCGGGCGAAGCGACTGGTTTGCCCGACGCTTCGCAACCACCTACAACTAATTGTCAAGGGAAAAGTTTGCTGAAAACTCTTTGACAGCCCACGACCGATTTCACCCTTTTTTGGGCTCATCAGAGATTCAGTTGAGTATCCTGTGAAAACCAAATTGATTTGCACATGAATGTAGTTGTCCTAATGGACGAAAGTCATAATAATGGACAAAGTCATTTCCGGCTTATAAAGGCAGTCGGACTAAATCACGTGCATCTGATAACGGCCCCAATATGACCAACACTAGCATGAGACGAATCCAGTCGATTTGAAACGTGGTTGGTATGGACATTTTTTTCTTAGAATACAAAACCGCGTCAGCCTGCTGGCAACTTAACCTCATTTACCTACAAGCTTAGGAGTTGGGACAAAAATGGAGATAATGTGGGAAAAAACCTGCCACACAGAAAACTGGTGTCCTTTTGAGAGGGGTTTTCGGTATCGTGGGACTACGTTCAATGTCCAGCTCGGCGGAGTGACCCCGGTTTCTGTGAGAATTATGATGGTAAACCTATGAGGAATTCAAAAAATGTCCTCAATTGCGGGTGTCACCTGTAGGGTAGCAAGGACTGACGAATACCTGGAAACCCTGTTTCCGACTACATCTAATATTTCACCCTCAGATTTGATTGCACTGGTATTTTCCGTATGACTTCGCTCGTGAATAAACATGATGTCGAATCAGTAGATGAAGAATTTGTCCAATTAGAATGAAGTTCCCTAGACTGGGTATCCTAAGCGCATTCGTGCCATGAAAAACACGTGAGTGTTTGACCTTGAAACTCAATCGCGCAATATACGTGTGGGCATATTAGCTGTCGCACGTGACATACCGCACAAATGCACTGCAATGTCGGTGCCGATAGCATCTCATATGATACACATCGCATTTCAGTCAATAAAGCGAAAATTGGGGAACGAAAAACAGTGTAGTCCGTGAACCTGAATGTAAAAAACTAACAATTCATACTTACAAAACAGTGCCCAAAGACCAAACTCTATTGGTGATGGATAGATGGAACAATTTTGAAAGGAACACTATCTGTTCGTAGACTGCTGTGTACTTCGATGTTTGACGTGTCACTGAACAACATACGGACAAGCAATCAAATGCGAGGGGACAAGTGTGGAAAAGTACGTGAAGGGCTATTCTTCGCCCTCGTTACATCTTCGTAGCACAGCATTCATTACTGTTGTGATGAAACCTGATGTAGACGACAGAACCAGGTTTAGCACAACTTGCCTTACTCTTCATCTGGCACGACACTCCACATATTGAAGTGTATTTTCTTGACACAGCTCATTTCTTATAAGGCTGCTGTAAATTGGTAACCCATTACCAGTTTCGTCCTCTTCAAGAAGCATTAGCGATACAGATCTAATGGTCTTCCAAGAAGGTAAACGCACGTCCTTTGATGAAAAGTCTGGTTCTTCTTCATGAATTTCGAAAGTGGAATGTAAATAAACCTTGGCACAAATGAAAACATAAAGTTAACCCGAAATGTTCGCTCTGTGGAATTTATCAGGCACCACCCGATCAATCATCTGATGGTGAAGGTGACGTTCAGTCGGCCCGAATTTATATAACAGGATGCAGACATTTCACGGATAAGTACTACATCCCTGTGTCCAAGAAACAGAGAAGTGGTCTCAGTCATCCTCTGCCTCAAAGCGGCTTAATCCTAAACAACCCAAAGATACGGACACAGAATATCGGCCTTGTCTTGGCCAGTCCTAGTGGGTTTTCCGTTTACTGGCTATAAGACCATGTATTTCAAGATACAACAGTGAACTAAAGGATCATGAGAACTAATCAGTGTTCTGTGCCAAACGAAGCAGCGGACTTGCATTGGTACTGAAGGGTCAACCTTTAAGGGCGTGGGGAGAAGGGTAAAAACTTGAATTTCATCTGCCTACTTGTAAGTAGATGGATACGCCCATGGTTTTCGCTCAGGCCGTGCACATTCCGTGTGGCGAAAAAAAACCTGGACTGGAATAGCGGGCATGGTTCGGTGTGTTTGAAGAGTTATAACTCAAGAGTAGAACTCGCTTACCAGTGAGGGAGCTGATTGATGCGACCAGATACATGCTCAAATCCATGTAGAAAAGTGCGGCACATTTGCTCGTGTGTTCCAACGAGGAAAGACCTATGTATACGCATTTCGGCGGAGTGTGCAGTCCAGTTTTGATTCACCGGATGATCTATTATGGAACCATCTGAACCGGAACATAGGCCACCACAGTGGTGGATAAAACGGCAATCGAGTGGCTATAGCCGTTCTTAACTGTTCGGCGAAGAGCGGCCGAACATAGGTGATCAGCTCTCACTTAGACGGAAGGGACCAGTCAACAGACCGAACCTTCTGAAATTAGCAGCCAGGCTTTTGCCTCATGGCTTCACTCACCTTGGAATTCCTGCGCTTAGCTGCTCCTAAATGGGTCTAAAATGGCTGTGTTCCTTCGCAGTTCTATGCCTACCATGGTGCCAAGAATGATCTCCTGCGGTTAGGGAATCGAATCTTTTTGGTGTGGCGAACGATTACCTTGTCTATGGGGTGCAACCAATTAGTAGTTACAAGCTGAGCTAATGATCATTCGGATACTGCTAAGACATCCATTCCATCTTCCGGGTTTGTTCCCTTGGGCCATAGTATGCGACAGTGAACCCACAAAATACTCCCAACTAGTAGAGTAACTTAGTGTCCGTAAAACGGAGACATGCATATGCGCTGTGAAAGGCAATCCCAGAAACCATTTCAACCAGGAAAAAGTTGGTTTGTGGGTGTGAAGCCACATTCGACTCGTGCAAGCTGAGTGTGATTTAACTATTATGCACGGGTACCTAAAAATTTAATCATTTCTAAGAGATCTGACTTGGATCGCAGGTATTTACGCTCGACTCAAACCCGCCAGACGACATGAAAATATCCGTTCGATTCCTCAAAACGAATGAGATCGACAGACTGTCATAAACTAGCACGCAACAAATCAGATTTGATGGTAACAGCCGAGAGTTTCATAAGAATGTTAAAGCAGAAATCCTGATACTTGATCTGACTGATATGATGATGCACAGGGAAATAATCATTTACCCGTCATAGCGTATCTGGCAAACGACGTAACGAGAATTTCAGCACATCCTAACTTGCAGGAATATCTTCCTAGCTAGCTCCGCCTGTTGAGAGGTCGGTAGACTTAAGCAGGGTGTACAAGTGCGCTTCCGAACGAGTGGATGCGATTTTCTACACCACAATGGAGTTTGCTTGAAACAGTGAAGGAAGGAAAGACAAAATCGACAGCAGGCTGTTTTTCGCCTACTGTTTCGACCACCAAGATTGATCGTTTTCAGCTAGTTCTGGCTACGATAAGACCAGACCTCCAAGCGTCCGGTTAATTAGTTATATTGACATGTGACTGAGACTGTAGGCATCCCACGTATGTATCCGGGAGTGCAGATTGGTCGATACCTTTGTTTGTGACGCATGTCCACCTGATCAGCATCCCAATATAGCTGGATACGCAAGTACATTACAATTTTTACGGAACACGTCGCCACCCGTAACCTGGAGAACAAGAAGACTGTGTTCTTCAGACCTCTAACCACTGACCAAGCTGGTATGAGAGACTCTGCGAATCTCGCGCTCAATGGGTCACCGAGGTACACAAACCGTCACACCATGGTAAGTTCCAGTCGCTTAGTGAGGGAAAATCGTTCAGCGGTAACAACCTTTCGGTGCTAGCTGCAATGCCACCAGAATGAAATAAGAGGGGTGAAATGCTGCCAGGTTGCCCAAGCCGAGATCGGGTTCGAATCACGGACCCTTCGGTCAGTAAATTCGCGCTCTAATCACCGAACCATCTCGTCCTCATATGAAACGACCAAGCGGGGTGCCTATACCTTCCAGTTGGTCGGTAGAAATACCACTTTCAATTGATCCTCTGCTGTACGGTGAAGTGTGGACAATGCTCAGGAACGCACTTAAGAAATAACGTGTCGTGCAACCAATAGATGCGCTGTGAACACACCTGAATGAGACCACAGATGCAGTTAACGGCCCTAATGCCTGTTCGTTGCGATAGACGGTTGGTCTATGGAACAGTAGAGATTTCCAACGAACTTGATCAAAAACTCTGTTGCTGAATCTCCTTCTGACTACCAAACGCTGGCTTAGAAAGACTTCATCAGAGATTTCTGGAAAAAAACACTCCGACTGATGACTGCTCAGTAGCTCACGCATGATATTCGGTTCGTTTTAGGGACGTTGGCTGCAAGAAATTTGGAAGATTTTGTAAGCAGCGTGAAACTATGCAAGTTAGTGTGTTCATGATGTACCCTCGGTCTCAGGACACGTGCAAGAAATCAGTGTTTACAACCCAGGTACCATCAGAAATACCGTCAATACCTGCTCAGCGCCCCGAACAAAAGCAACTCATCTAACGTGATCTACAGAGTTCCACTGAAACCTTCCAAGGGAGTATACGCACACACCCTGGAGACGGATGAGGCTATCTGTATGAAACTACAAGCCACACTCCGTAGTAACAATTGGTACTAAACAGTGCACTCCGGTTACATCGTCCTTCGAGCTGGGGCATGGTGAATATCTGGTCAGTTAGTAGACCAATTGTGACTTGGCAACAGACGCATGATTTGTATCCATAAATGCTGTCTGTCTGCATGTCCACCGCATTCTGCATAGGTTTTGAATAGCTAGTGTTGAACTATGCAACCCAGTTGGTGAGTATCCGCAAACTGTGGTTGGCACCTCATTCGTCTGTTTCCCCCCAAATGTCATAGCTTCCACTATCATCCACTGACCCACTCGACCTCGCACTGACGGTGTCACCTCGACTGGTGATGAAACGTTGGAAAAACCAACTACTAAGCTCCGCGAACACACCAACAACCTTTTTGTTTGGTTTGACAATTATTACACGTAGATTTTCAACTGCCCTACACCCTTGGCAGGACCAAGGAATATTTTTTAGTAGTGCTATCGTGTTTTCCTAATGAACAGCCATAGTTCATCTCGAGACAGACAGAAGCTAGATATTGAGTTCCTTAATGAAAATCCGCGGTCCGAATTTCTCATGTTCGCTCTAGTCCTGATATCTGGGTTGGATAACCCTTGTAGATGCCGTGTACCCTTCACGCTGCTTCACAGTTTGGACCTCGGTGTAGGCGGTGCTGACGAGCTAGGAGAACGAGACAAAACGACTACCGGCTGGTTCACCGGACACGATTGAGTGAAGCATTACATAAAAATTTCTTCAGTACTTGTACAACCGTCTTGGTTAAAGAAGCTTGACAAACATACACAGCTATACAGGACAAACCGTGAAAATGCCAATTGTTTCGGGAACATTTCCGGACAAATACGTTGTATCGAATAAGCGTGTGCTTCAGGCTACTATTGAACACAGATTTGCACAGGTAGGTTGTTGTTTCAATACGACTAACTTCCCGGAGCTGTTTTCAACTAGTGAAGTGCAAAGGACTGAGGTATATATTGCGGTTTGGAGAACAATAATGTCAAGAACTGACGAAACATTTTGGTTTAGTAAGGACAATTTTGCTGTACTAGTCATTCACTTCAGTGAGACATACACACAAACCAGTGGGGCCGAAAAGACCGATCAATAGGAAAATAGTATATTCGACCACAAATGCGTAACAATTTAGATCAACAGCTTTTCGATACTTTGTTGTATGGCAGTAACGAGTGGTTTTAGCTGCGATCCCTCACTGTCAGTGACCGCCACAGCAGCTACGGACCTGGAGACACCACAAGCTCGACCAAGAGCCATTTGTGATGGGATGAAAACGTACGGTACATTCTTGTCTTCACACAACAACGGGAGATGTAGGACGATTTCCAGCGGCTCTATATCTGCAGCCATCACGATAAACTCGGCTTTGCCCCGGTTCAGTGCTTTTGTTGCCTCATTTGCACCCTTTTTCAGTTGTTTATAGGAACTGGCCTGCTTGACCAATTCGATCAGTTTATTCGTCAATTCCGGGCCAGCTAGTGGATAAGCACGTGGGTTGATTCCTTCAGTCTGGAGGGAGTAAACGACACGAAATATTGATATGACCCAGAAAGGAATAAAGTAGACAAACATAAACATGACATGCGTTGCGACTCCTCGAGAAGAGACTGGAACATTACCTGATTGAAAGCGGAGCCTACCCAGCTGCATTGCACTCAAGAAATCACACCAAACCGACTTCCTGATTGAACACAAGAGCTGGATGAAACTGTGAAAAGTCACCCAAAGTACTTGTATGCGTTCAGCTGTAGCACCCTTTCGGTGCCTAGCTGCCATGCTACCCGAAGGAAGCACGAGGGCTGGGATACTGCCAGATTGCCCAAGCCTAGACAGGGGAAGTCGAGTGGCGGAGGTCGGATTCGAACCGCGGACATTCCGGTCAGTAAATTCTCGCTCTAACCACTTGGGCCATCTCTTGTATGAAATTGGAGAGCCGATTACTCATCACCTTTTGATTACTGCTAACAATGAGTACAAGCAACCCCCCCCCCCAGGAGATAGGGCGACTTAGTAGATCTCAGTAGGGTTGCTTTTGAAAGTGATTTTCCATAAGTGAATACTGTCTAACTGCGAATGAAAAATGTTCACAACTCGTCATAGGGCAGCCTCCAAAAATGTTCGTCTCGAAAAAAACGACTTCGCGACATCAGCCAACATAGATTTTATATGTAATATTACGAATGGACCGACATCTTGGATATAGACACAACTGGGTCCTGGGACAGCCTTCGCGCTCTACATCCGGCTGATGGACAACGCAAACGGGAGATTCATTGAAAGCTCGACGAAACCCCTAGTTCACGTCAGTCAGAGGGAAAGTCAGTGACTCACTGAACGGCAGTGTTTGACCAACTCACAAATGCGCCACCAAAACTCGCCAAAATGTCATTTTCATTAGCATCACACATCCGGCTAACAAATATTATGATAACTGAACAACCCTTAACCCATGAACACACGCATCCTTATCGGCATCCGAAGAGGAATGGACTTCTCATCAACCGTATAGGTTACAAGGCCATACTTAGCTCCCAATATTACTAACCAGTGATGTGAAGGATAAAAGATCATATTTAAACCCATGTAGCATTGACATCTGATGAAAAATTATTTCCCAGGGGAACTAAGATAACATGCCGTTCCTACGCCCAGTCAAGCGGCGTACCGATTGGCAGACACGCCCACTATAGATCCCAGGAACTAGACGATGAAATCTCTCACGACACAACTGAGCTCCACCCAGTAAACTATCACAAGGAAACCGAAACGTGCTCTTCTTGTTCAAGCATGATCGGAGTGTAGAGCTGATTGCATAGCGGTTGTGAAGGACCTGCCCGGTTAACTCCATCTCCAAGGTTCAATACGCACAAATCAGTCGCCCGACAATAGCACGTTTCCTATCTGTTTAGCTGGTTCCCAGCAAGTTTTATAGGACAGTGGTAAATGAAACATGGTGACCTCTCAATTAATTGGCTTTGAAAAACACGAAACTCTACGTAATAAAGCATTAAGCATTGGCGCTTTGTTCCTGTTGTGTAAATCGTTTCAAGATATTGCAATTTAGGACAACTGTTACATTTGAAAGCGGAAGGACTCAAATAAAAACGGAAAAGGGTTTCAACTATGTGACAAAATGACCAGAGACTCGTGATGCGAGGCATAGACGTTTCACTGCGTCTCATCTGAGGAACACAAATTCGGAATATGTTCTGTCCATTGGTGTTTTCGATTAGGTCGCCCTGTGCTGCACTCAGAATGACACTTTTTAAAAGACCCACTCTCTCCAATGCCAATTGCTTATTTTACAATTAAAACTCAAGACGAAGCCTTATTCAGAACGACTGACGAGTGCACTTGTAGTTTGCTTATCACGTGAGGTGAACAAGGCCGTGCAATTGAGTCGTACGCACGTAGAAGTTGCAAAATCTGCGTGATTGTTCTACTGCTCCGAGCCCAGCTTCTCGTTTTTCCTTGGATTATTACCTGAAATCATCGTCTTTTTTAACACGTGCCACACGATCAGGAGAAATTCGTGGTCATACGTGTCAATAATTGTTTTAGACGCATGAAAAAACTAGACTACCTCACCTTTTGAAATTAGAAGGATTGCTTAGCGTGGGATGTAACCTCATGAAGCAATTTTTCCAACCATACAGTTTACAAAAACGAGTGACACTAAATAGGGTTGGAAAGTTCCGTGTAAAATAGAAACTAACACTAAAAAAAACTGACGATAAAGAGGATGGACTAACCATGTGTTTACCAGATTCCGTTAAAACCTTAAGGACGACTCAGTACTGCCCAGTGGAAGTGATCCTGAAACACGACGGTTAACGCCAGGCTAAAACAAAAAACAACAACAATACACAAACCGCAAATGTACCATTGCACATACGAAATTACAGCGTCAGAAGCGGTCGATATTCACTGTGTATGAGACCCTCCTCTTGGCGAAATAATTTACTCTGGAAACTTCCGAGCCATAAAAAAACCTCCGATGAGGCTGAATAACTTAACGGCTGCATCGGGTTATTCATTCTAGTTGCCTAACAAAGAACTCAGTGAATTGGGTTATTCTCACTTTGACATTTCGGCAGCCAAGGATAATCTTGGTGTGAGTAAGATAATCAAAACCACCGGTTTCCAAACCGGTGGTTGTACTCAGCTACAGCAGACGGTGAACCAAGAAACTGATGAAATGGAGACAAAAGGAAAGAGCTAACTAGGAGGGATACGAACCCGTCAGGTAAAGAGCAAATATTCAAGGTCAAAACTTATTATCAACTGTAATTGGGAGAAGTCAGAATGGGTATGAAAAGATCCCAGGGGCGTTACACAACCGATAATGGTGGTCCAGTGATTTGGTAATTGTGTTACTGAGCCCGGGAAGTTATTGTCCGTGAAGTATTTCTATTTCTTATGGGAGTAGCGCATGAGTTGGCTTTGGTCTACTCTCCACACGTGACTCCGACTATACGGAGAGACAGCTATCCCATCCAGTTGCTTCGTCCGCCACCTCTGTTTTGGAAGACTTTTGGTTTGGTCCGTAACAACCAACTCATCAGTATCAGGTGAATTTACACATCATTTCCGTGATGCTTTGGAGCCCTGCAGATACTATCGTGCGATCATCCTTTAATCAGACTAGCAACTGGATGTCATTCAAGATTAGCGAAATATCATTGGTGCCAAAGATATTCATATATTTAACTAATACAAAGTGACCTGAAGTCGACTATGCAAGATGTGTGGCAAAAATACCAAAGCAAGATCACAATAATATCTTTGCTTGCTTAAGTCTACAACTCCAAAGCATCGCGGATCTTTTAAACACTACGTATGTTTCACAGGACTCTTGATGGTTCGCGATTGATGGGATCCACCCGGATGTGCACCATGCCAAAATAAGTCACTACGGACTAATAGTATTTCGACAGGCTCCGTTCTTAAGCAGTGCGAGAGGGGTGATTATTGGGTCAATGTTACAGCATATCAGAAGTCCGTGGAGGACCTCCAAATATAGTTGTTGCTATCAGACTCATGTGATTCATTAAGACATCAGTCGCTCAAGTAAGCCCCCAACTTTAATTCCCCTATCAGACTGGTTTTGGGGCACAGAAGGTAGGTAGTTTCCGCGATTACCAAGGCTCAATCAAAGAAACTGGGACAATTCCAGAGAAGAGCGGAGTATAAAAGGAGATCAAGAAGACTGAAAGTACTTCAGCTGGGGGTATGGGCAATCGATGGCTGATCTTTTGTAGACGTGAAAAATACCACAGCAAGCTGTAGGCGAATGTACGACAGTGAAACACCAGCTTGAGCTGAATGAGCATTGAAGGCTTAGTTCGAATCCTTACATCCCCGTCGTTGGGGGTTATTGTGAACAAATTACTAGAGGAAGCAGTTTCTCCCGAATCAGACGGGGCATTCAAAGTCAACCGGATGAGGGCAGATGGTGGTTGACACGCTTATCGAATCTTAGAAACCGTGTTACCTACATCAGAATGGTCGCCATCAGTATACGGAGGCATTAGAACTTATCAACTGCTTTCTACAGTGACTCTGACTAATAGTAAGGATAACACCAGTGTAAACCGTGGGTCCGCTGATTGTCCGTTTCCGAGTCAGTTTCTGCATTCCATTAGCTACACTTCCAGCATGTCACGAATTAAATCGGGAAAAAGCCCTACCCCCCCCCCAAGCAACTTTGTAATGGAAGTCTGGGAATAAACTGGATATTTAGAGGGCAGACAGAGGGTGCGGAGACTTTGGACTCCTTTGGACTCTCGCGGAGAAACAGTGAGTAATTCTGAAAACAGAGATGCAGATGGCTAAACGGAAAGTCACTGTGAATGTTTGTTGAGTAAAGCAACCAGGACCTGGCAATTCGTACTGGAAGATAGTTCGCTTTACTGTGCAATGAACCACGCTGTAGGTATATACGTAATTTGTAGGCAGTTTACATTCTGACACCGTCATGTCCACGCTGGAGACCAGAGGTTTTTGAAGCAACAAGGAACCTACGGAATAATATGGGAGGTCTGACGACAAAGAATAAAAAATAATAGTCCCACTGCTAGCAGCGATACCGCCTGAGGGAAGTGCGAGAGCACAGACAATCAGGTTGCTCAAGCCTACACATAAGCAGTTTGGATGCCGGGGTTCGATTCGAACCTAAACGTCCGGTCATTAAGTTTGTGTCCTAAGCAGTGAGCTACTTTAGCTCAAGACGGACGATTCTGGCACTCATTCACACGAGTGCAATTCCGCGTAGCTGGCCAAAGAGTAGGTCCAAGTGAACTTTGATTCACTTGACGCATTTAGTCTGGCTCCGGAGAACCCGAGTTCAAGTTGAATCAGTTCTTGCACGAAGAGAAACAAGATAGATCGGATTTTATGTTCCTCTTGTCACAAGACAGTAAGACGTAGTCAGGAGTACGCTCCATCACTTTTAGGTTTACAGACCTCGTCAAAATTTCGAATTCTGCTTGACAACAGGGAAGCAGGTCAAATGTTGGAGAATCAACTAGGTTTGCGGTACACTGTCTCGCTAACGCGCCAGTGGTTACCCGCAGTAAACCACGAAGGGATTTGTAACGGCTTTTCCTACATCATTTCGCTTCTCCGCGAAACAGCGATTGGCAGGCGCAACCACTTGTCTAATCGCGCTTCACCCCGTAAAGCACATTCAGAGACGCAGCGACAAACATATCGTGTTACGAGACGAATACTTGTCAGCATAGCCTGACAAGTATTACTCTGATAACCGTTAACAATGATACAATTAAATGTGGGTACTAACAGACGCAGGTACTAACGTATCATCACGGAAGACAGCAACATCAGTGTTGACTGATGCCGAACAACCATACAGTTTATCTGGTCCAACTGTACCACCCTTTCGGTGCCCAACTCCAAGGCCACTCGAAGGAAGCACGAGTGCCGAGATACTGCGAAGTTGCCTACGCCCAGACAGGAGCAGTCGGGATGCAGGGATCGAGTTCGAACCGTGGACCATCCGATCGGTAAGTTCGCGCCTTAACCAGTGAGTCGTATCGAACACACAAAGTCTATCCAATTATATTCAAAGCCTTATATTGAAAAGAGGAACGACTGGATGAGGGAGGAGACCTGGTGCCTATACCCTAGACAATCTGGAAAGAAGTTAACAACGCAAACGCTGCTGATGCCAATCGGCCGAGATTTCTTGCAGTCTCTATCCGAACGCAGGCGGGGTAAAAGTCATTCGGTTGTCGCACCCTTTCGGTGCCTAACTGCCATGCCACCCCACGGTTGCACGAAGGCTGAGATACTACCAGGTTGCCCAAGCCGAGACAGGGGAAGTCGAGAGGCAGAGGTCGGATTCGAAACACGGACCTTCCGGTCGGTAAATTCGCGCTCTAACCACTTGGGCCATCTCGCTCCAAAAGTGCGCCGACCGGGACTGGAACCCAGGTCGCAACCGTGGGAAGGTTGCATACCCCTACACCATCGGCGCGCGACGGGCGAGGGTAGGGGGGCCAATCCCGGAAGGCGTACAAAATCAACAACGTCCAAACCCTTCGCAATCTCCTTCACACAAGTTATACGCTGTCCAACTCGCAGTTTGCGCCGTTCTAAAGGAGGAACGGAAAACACTCGTAGACGGTGTTTCGGCATGTGTAGCAAATGGCTGAGCCAACGCAGTTGATGGTGTTGGATGTTTTCCGCAATCGAAGTACCCACTACGCAACCAACTACCCGTTTTCTAATTGCCTCGTTACGGAACCGTTGACGACATCCGGCACCAGTGATATATCCGAGGCATTGGTGGTCAAAAACACCAAGACGCTTCACATCATCTGTCCGAAAAGGCCACGTCTCTCAAGCATACAAGAATACAGCCCCCATCCAGTGATGTGCCTTCTTGACGCCACAAGGGATGCAAATTAGCAAACGTGCTTCAAGCCTTGGAGATGCTTGCACTAACTTCATCAGACACACTTCCATCAGAGTTAATACAACTACTGAGATATGTAAAACTCTCCACAACCTCCAGTGATTCTCATTAAATGGTAAACGGTACGTTCAGAGACTGTATATCCTGAAGCATGACCTTGAACCTTGGAGGTGTAAGGCGCATGTCGAAAGATGGTGTGTTATGGTGGTGAGTCTATTCAATAGGCCTTGTGCTTCGCCTTTGTTTTCAAAGATGAGCATGGTATAGTCCGCGCACTCCAGAAGGACAAAGTTCTCACCGGTAAAGATTTGAACACAGGTGATTTGAGGACCTTCCAGTGTTCGCTTCAGTAGTTCATCAATGACAAAGTTGAGCACGAACGGAGTGCGAACATCGGGCACCACTTTGGTAAGGAAGCTTTTGGATTGCTTACCATACACCATACACATCCAGAGGTGTGTGAATATAGGGACTAGATTATTTCCACAGACGCCAGTGGCATACTCTGTTGAGCAAGTATGGCTAACAGCACTGACCGATCGACAGAACAGGGTGCACCCTTGAAGTCAAGACACACCAAGATTGTGGGTCGTCTATACATATGGAATTGCTCCAACACCTGACGCATTGTGAAGATGTGGCCTACGCGGCTTTCATCCGGCCGAAATCCCGCTCGGTGCTCACGGATCAAGGATTCGTGTGCCGCCGTGAAACAACGAAAAAACAGACGCCACAAACCTTGCTAGGATGGGAGCAAAACTAGCACCCCCTGAGGTTACTAAACTCACTGTGGATATCTTTTTGAAAATGAGCAGTCATTGACTCATTCCAGTTGTATCGGGGAGTCCTTTTGTCCCAAATAGACCCAAATACGCTGGACAGGCCGGCTTAGGAATAATAACCTCCCATAAACAGAGCAGGTGAAAGAACTTCAGGACCAGCAGCACGATACTTGAGCATAGATATACACTCGAATACTTCGGGAGTTGAAGGGCAGTACATCTTTCCGTTGAAGGCCGGAAGTCCTGGTTTGAGGTAACAGGTAGTCCATTCAATTATCGTTCGAAGTACTATGCCAAACGGTCCAAACGTTTCCCTTTGATGTATATCAGAAAGCCATCCTTGACTCTGACAGTTGTGCTGACAAGAGGCTTCCGAGGATCAGTCGAACGAATTAAGTTGAACAATCTGCAGACGTTTCCAGCATTTTTCGCATCTACCACTTCTTCAGCCCTTCGGGTCTACCAATCTCATCGATCTGCAAGGAGACCAAACTTCACCCGGCGTCGGGTGATGGGCCGGGCTGAGTGGAGGTTGACTCCACCAAAGCCATGTTTCTATCAGACATTCCATGTTTGGACGAGACTAGCTGGGCTGTGGCGGCTCTGAGTAGCGCTTTGGATATCTGTTCCCAGTGGCCAACATAGAACCGTCCGGTAAGGAATCAGGGAGTCGGTCTTGATAGGTTTATTTGGTTTCTGGGTCCGCTAGCTTCTCAATAGACAAGCGTATGCGCGTTTTGCATTCCTACGTTGGAACCTTTCATGCACCAGCAAACTAAAATGGGGAAATTTGTTTAATAAAAGTGTGCCCTAAATTTTAAAAGCTTCTTACCGTCCCCCTCCGCTCAATGAAGGTGGTTTTCTTTGTGTCCTGAATGGAAAACTTGATTGGCGTATTCAAGCAGTCTAACGTGGGCTCCATAGTGTCTGGAAGTTTATGTAGGTAATACGGGGAAAAGGATACCGGATTATCTGACGAACAAACCCATTTCGGACTCATTCTTCTAAATGGAGTGAGAAAGATGCTTAAAGAAAGTCAGACACCTAGGTTGTTTTTGGCACCTAGCTCCGTAATAACTTCTGCTCCATTTTCAAAGAGGCATTTACCCAGTCTCCTCCATGGGTACATTCTTCGTCATCCAGAGGAAGGTGCCAGCTTCGCGGCATCGATGCTCATTTGAAGGGCGCCCATGTTGGAACCTCACTGTTTTATGTCATCCGAAAAGAGTGGACGAGGACTTGAAGGAGCATCGGAAGCGTATATTAGAAAGGGATGTCTCATGTCGGAGTCTTTGGGAACTTCAAAAAAGGCCAGTACAGAAGAGCAGGTTGATCCAATTCTCGGTCTACTTGAATAGGAAGCCTTGATGCAGAGTTAAATTGCCCCCTGAATCCAATAGGTCTACCGTTTCTGGGGTAGGGAGACGTATTGGATTGCATCAAATGCCTTCGAGAAGCTAAAATATTGCACCCGATATCACTCGTTCGTCTTTAGTCAGTGCTGAGCTGTCCATGAACACGGGCATGTTCTTCACATGAAAGCGGTTTAAAAGTAATTGTTGTATTGTGCGGTGGCCGAGCTATTGGGTTACGCCTGCACTGAGCCTGCCAGACTACGCAATAGGGAGAAGACAGAGAACTGCGGACACGGCTGTATTGCCAGGACAAAACATACAGAGCGTCTGCGTAAATATATATAGGATGACTAATTTGGCCAAATATGTTCGTTCACTTGTTCGCTCCGTACAGCCAATGGTGGTGTTCTGGTAGTGAACGCTCTCAGGCCCACTGCGCTGGTCGTGTGTTGCTAAGCCATGTTTCGTGGGAGCCGCCAACTCACCTACTTTCCGGACGTGTCGAACCGATGGTGGCCTTGGGGATACGTCACTCTCTGCACATGTGCTTTTTCTTCTGTCTGGGCGCGCCCTGACGGTAATATGTGCCGCTCGTGGGAGAGTAGCCAGTTGACAACCAAGTGATTCAATACCGGACGCGTTCAACCACCTTGTATGGTGTCAGTGAAACTAGGTCTGTAGCAGTCATCTGAGCAGTCACCAGTTTTGTAGGTCAGTGCGACAAACACTTAGTACCAAACACAGTTTTCTTCGTCGGGCGACAAACAAAACATCAGGGAGAAATGTTCAGCTAAGTTGTGCGTTTTTTCTTTAGAATCTTTGTATGCACTTCATCTGGCCATAACCGACTATCTTGTGCAAAAGTTATCGAACATCCTCCATAAAAATAACATAGGTTCTATTCGTAGTTCTAGTATGTCAAACTGGATGCGATGAAATCGCTGAGACAGAGTATAAACCTAAAAAATACTCTCCATAGACTTCGGCTACCACTGGTGGGTTCTCCGCTTTCACGCCACAAAAAGGCCGTTGGCTCGTTTCCTCGGTGGAGTCTCCTTCACTCAAATGATATTTTGTTTCCCAGACAGGAGTTGATAGTATGGCTTGCTTGCGAACCTTTTGGACAATGGTCCTATAAGTCCTCTCCACTGAGGCTGGTTCCAATTCAAGTTGAATAACCATAATCATACTTGGCTGCACTACCCCACACAATACTGGTACTCAACTGTCACGCAACCATGAGGGGGAAATGCCTTGGAAGAGTGGAAAGGGGGAAACGAAGTTCAAATCGGCAGATGAAACTGGAGTTAGCTACAGTATTCACTACATCCCACAGGAATCTGAATCATCAGTTGATTGACGAAGCGTCCTACATTGACAATAACCAAACCCAACAAGGATGGCGGCTGGCCTGTGCGATATCTTGTGAGTGCATCAATACGGTTGGTCGGATCGTCCCGTTGCCCGACCTGAGTGATCGCCGGCGCAAAATGTCCGCTAGATCTGTGTTGAGCCAGACCTTAGGGGCGTTATGGTCGCCAACTGGCGAAAGCTGACTCAAGTGGTGGCTGAACGAGAGTAGCTAAATGGTTTGCATTATGGAGAGCTCGTTTTTCGGCAAACTCCGGGGGTGAATAACGGTAAACGATGTCCAGAAGAGGGTAGGTCCGGCGTAGTGGAATTTGGGTCCACATTGGATTGCAAAGGCTGATTCTATTACCACAACCTCGTAAATAATTTCTCGTTCGTTCGCCTCATACAAATTGGATCTGCACGATAAACACCTCATTTGCGGCCGTATAGTTATACACAGTCGCTTGATGGCGTATTAGGTATCACCGATTTGTGTCGTCAACACTCGCATCACATGCATGTAGAAACCGTATAAGTCGCCGGGGGTAACATTTTAAAAAACGTTACACATTAGGCCAAGACGGAGTGC